GGGCTCTATGGCACTGTTCAACCCACTGTCCCCCGAGTTATAGCTCCCGCTGGAGCTGCTCTTATCCATGCCTGGAGTTTTCTGAGTCCGCCGCGGAAAGTTCAAAGTGGTCTTGTTATGTCGCATTGTTTGTGTTGTGGCTCTAAAATTTCATGGGTGAAAAGAGTTTGAAGGTGTGGGGTTGGGGTGTTTTATACGTAAGCATTCAGAATATGAGTCGGGTCATCAACTCACTATTACAACAAAAGGACATTTATAACGCTAACAAGATGTAACATGTTTTAAAGTTTCCAATGATCGACATTTAAAAGTACGTGCAACCAGGAGAGGATGGAAATACAGACCACCTGAGTTCAAAAAATATACGTGTGGAGGTTTTTCGAGAATTCTTCAAATGTTTGGTACGAATCCTTTTTGTGCTTATTAAATGTTTAATGTAATGCATGCTAGACATATGTTGACATGTTGCATCGACAATACTTGACAAATTCTTTTTATATCACTCATCAAATTACTTCGGTATATGCCAATATCTGTTGACATGTGCACAACAAGCCCAATAAGTAAATGAATTTTTTTTTATGCATGCTTCGCACTTTGTTCCTATCTAAAAAACTTGTATTTAACATTAGGACTCCCAAAGTTCAAATCTTGGATATGTCACCACGTGCAGCAACATATTATATATTATTGTACTAATGCATTTTACCACTTTTTAGCATAGCACATTTTGATTTGCATCACGAAGAAGGTGTAGGGTTGTGTTTGGTACATGGAATGCGGAAGAATTTCGTGTTTCTCGTTGGGTTAGGAAAAAAATTCAACAAATAACGCTATCGTTAAAATAAATAAATAAATAAACAAATAAACACAACCCAAATGAACATAACAATGTAACAGCATAGTTTATTTAATTTAATTTAATTTGCACATAGTCATATAACACTAACAAGATGTCACATAATTCAAAGTAACATCTAAAAGAAACTCAGATAACATTCCATAAACCACATAATAATACATGTATTTTTTTTATGTGGTTCAGAAGATTGAAGTAATGAGACATAACAAGAATTGAATCATTATTGATACAAAGGGCCTTTAATTTTAATTTGCTTAAAGGCATTTTATACAAGGGCCTTTAAATGTGCTCATTTTAGACAATGTTTGTGTTTCCTATAGGAAAATTACTTGTCATTCGCTTATGATTAATGTGTTTTTACCATACGAACATTATAAATAAATCGTTCATATTCTTTATCATCATCTAAAAATCATATTTGTAAAAAATATTTCAATTTAGAGATCGTTTAGACATTTATATACATAACAAATGAACGGTTCATCTTTAAATAATGTTAAAAACATAAAGTAGTTATAATTACAATTTCGTACGATAAAAACATGTTAATCATAAATAGGAAAACACATAAATTCCCGACACAAGCAGTATACTAAAAAATTTCCATTCCGAAGCTATAATTGAGTTGTGTCTCGTAACTGAGGTGTTATTCACCCCTGAGTTGGAAAGGAAGATTAGTTTGGGATACAAAAGGCTTTGGTCAAAGGTGGTAGTTTCAACTTTCATGGGGTTACCGATTACGTGTATATACGAGAGAGTATCTTTGTAAGGATCTTAGATCTTCCAATCATATCCGTTCTCAATTAATTTTTATCATGTACTACTTATATTTAATTTTATATAAAACATCTACAGTGATTTTTTGACGTACCCGGTCCTTCCAAGTGTATGTTCACAAGTTAATCCATCTTGCAGCAACATATGCATAATCTGCATGTCTATATGTCGACATCTGGCTTCTCTTTTCGGGAAATGTACAACTGGAGTTGAGTGGAAGCCATTAAAGTAAAGCCTTAGAGTTGATTGGAAGCCATTAAAGTAAAGCTCTCTCTCTCTCTCTAGACATGGAAATAAGTGAGAGCGAGAAACAGAACATGAATTCCAATGTGACAGTTTCTGAGTCTGATGGGAAGAGCTTGCTGGAGAACTCGGAGATTGACAGCTTCTATCAGAGACTCAATAAGCTGCATACTTCATCTGGGCTCAACCTTGTGTGAGTTTTGCTATTTTTGCAATTTTTTTTTAATTGTTTTGGGCTTCTAAGTTTTCTTTTTTTCCTGTTTTTCTTATTATTTGCTCAAGTGGGTTCAAGCAAGGATTTTTTTGATGGGTTTTGTTCACACAAACACACAGATATGCATATATGTACATGTATGTATGCATGCATGCGTGCCATGTTTGGTATTTGAGAAACTTGTGGGGAAGAAAAAAGCAAAAGTTAGAATCTTTGTTCACAAGAAGCAAAGTTGGAACTTTCTAATTCCGAAATCGGAAGCTGCATATTAAACCTCCTTGTACTTACTTATGCATGTGGAATATTTGGGGAGCTTATGTGATTGGAATGGTGAATACTGGTTCAGTTAATTTAACCTGTTCCCAGTTAGCGATATCTGATTGGTTGCATTGTGCAGTTTTGATCTCAGACAATCAATGCTGGACTTGCATTTGTGTTACAAAGAAGTTACTGCAAGAGGAGGGTTTCTTCAGGTAGTTTGTTTCCAATCATTTGATGATTATTTCGTATTTATGTAGTGAAAACCAAAAAGAGAGTCCATTACCTCGTTCGTGTTTTATCGGATGTTCCAAAAGGGACTAATAATTTGTTTACTTTGATTGTGTTGATTTTGAGTCATGGAATGATAAGTTTTCTGAAGTTCTGAACTTCCAGATTTGGGATTATCTAGTTTGCAAATAGAATGTCTTGGTTGTTTAGGAGAGAACATGAATTGTTGAAGTGCTTAACAGCGCGTTCCTATGCAGTTACGGAATCATTTATTAGATGAAGTGGTTTTCAACTTTTCACCTTCAAATTTATATTAACTAGACCTATAACGGTTACTTTCCAGGTTACCGCTGATGAGAGATGGGGCGAAGTTGCACTCGCCTTAAAATTGGATTGTGACAGTCTGCAGGATTCTCAACCTCTCTTAAACCTTTACGCACTCGTTCTCTACCAGTATGAAAAACTTTACTACTACAGGGAACCTCATGCAAACGCTGCTTCTACTCTAGGTAGAGTAGCTACTCCTTGCCAATTGTTCTCGAGCCTATTTTTATATTAGACAAGCTCTAGAGAAATGCATGTTTTCAATATGTTCGTATTACCTTTGTTTTTCTGATTAGGATAAAAATATCAGGTCATGCCAGTTTTTATAATATTGGGGATGTCTCAGCAATGGAAGGGCAGTGTAGGGATAATTCATCTCAGATGTTACCGAGTCTTGAAAGTTCTCATGTGGAGAAGACGACGCCCAAAGAGAATTGTCAACCAATAGGTATGTCACCGTTGCTTACTTGGTTGATTGAATTCAGCAAACTAAAAACATTACATGTTGCAGCCGTACATTTAGTGGTATTATCAAACTTCTGAAGGAACAGAGAAGGTCGTGGGGCCGATTGTTTTCTTTGTGATGCAAAATTGTGAATTCAGCAAACTAAAACATTACATTTGGACATTTGATTAGGTTCTACATCTGCAGAACAGAAGCAGTTCCCCCAGCTGCACTCCCAGAAAAAAGAGATGAAAAAACGTGGTGGTTTTCCACGAGGGACACAAAGTGCTTATACCATCTTCCTCAGGAAAGAATGTGAGCGGTTGAAAAGTTCTGCTTCGGAGCAACTTAAGGGTCGAAGGGTCTTAGACTTGGCCGTCAGTGCATGGAGGTGCCTCTCTGAGAGTGAGAAACAGGTAGAGTTACTCAACTTTTACATAGTCTACGTTAATGTTCAGCCACTTGGTTGCATTCGTTTTTATATGCTATTTTATTCCCTTGAAGCTTTCAAACTGTGCAATTCGGGTCCAGTGTAATCGGAAAGTTTATTTGCTTAAACTGAGTCTGGAAGCAAAGTTAACAAGAACTTATGCATTTGATTCCCAAAATTTTATTAGTCCTCGTACAACTGATAGTGTTGAAATTTTAAAAACATATTTTTCCTAATACCGCAGTGTGGTATTTGAAACGTCTTCCTAGTTATATCGCGAATCTTTTAGATAAACCTCTTAAAGAATTAGAAGGACAATCAGTAATTTATCAAGTGGAAATTGTTTGGCGGCATGACTATTTAAACACAGGCTGATTATTCCTCTCTTTCTGCAATTGATGTCCTTCCTCTGAGTGTCGGTAGGTGTAATTGTGTTTATTTATTTTTTCCTTGCAGCCATATGTTGAGGCAAGTAAGAGGGTTAATGAAAAAAGAGTGGCTCAAGAAATGATGGGTGATGAGGAAAACCAGGGCATGCAAAATGCAGAAAGAGGAAAGAAGCCTTCACGTTCATGGAATGGGAACTGCCGCGCGGCTTTGCAATCTGATACAGAAAAATCATGTGTTCAAAATCTAGCAGTGAACTTTCAAGAAAGTCTCCTAGAAGGGATTGACTGGAGTAAGTAATGTGGTTCACCCAAGGACTCAAGAATTTCAGCTGGGGTTTGTTTTTGAAATCGAGACTCTTTCTATTCCGGGGAAGGTAGGTCTTGTACATTTCTTATATAGTTACAATCTTGCCGGTCTTTTCGTGTATATTTTGGAAATCCGTTCCCCCTGGATGGAAATGTGGTAGCATAGCCTTTATATTTTTGGTGGTGAGCGGCTGCAGACGGGGTTCGAAAATGCATCCTTAGACCCTTCCCTTGGTGTAAAGAAAGGTTTTTAGCTAATCGTCTTTTGTTTCAACCGCTACTTTTCTTCCATGATATTTCTAAACAATCTCTCTCTCTGAAGAGAATCTTCTCTTCTTAGAGGCATGGAGAATGATCGACTGTGTTTACAAATGTTTGAAATGACAAAGTTAGTTTCGGCACAGAGAAAATGCACCGCGTAGAGGACCGATGGATGCGCGAGAAACGAGCTTACCCCCGAATTTTGAAATTTTGGTTACAGATTAGATCATTGTATCCTAGTGGACAAACGCCTATGTAGGTAAGGGCGAACTTTTGTTAAAATGTCTTGAAGCTAAATGGAAAACAAAGAGAGTTCATAGCTTTCAGGCGGAAAACGCACCAGTCTCGGCAATAATTTCGCTATCACTTACTGCCTGTCACAATTGGGCCTAGATGTTAATGAGATTTTTTTATGTCACCAATTCATTACGTGTAATCGTTTATTAGATGAATAGTGCACTGTTTAAACACGTTTGTAAGCATTTAATAGACGATGATAGTACTCAAAACAAATCTCGGTTACATGAAAGAATTTCTCAGTAAATCTGTAAGTTAATTAATCCATTTTACATCAACATGCGCATAATCTGCATGTTTGTAAGAAGACATTTGGCTTTAGTTTTGGGGATTACAAATGTTGAAGGAGAGCAGAGTAATTGAAGTGAAAGCTCTCTCTCTGTGCAAACATGGAGGCTGAGACCGAGACACAGATCATGGATTCCAATGCGACGATTTATGTGGCTGATGGGAAGAGCTTCCTGGAGAACTCTGTGAGTGAAAGCTTGTATCAGAGACTCAACAAGTTGCATAACTCATCTGACCTGAACCTCACGTGAGTTTTCTCAATTTTTGAGGGTTTTTGGCGTCTGGGGTTTCCTTGTTTCTCTGTTTTTCTCTCTATTTGATTTCGAAATGTGTCAGAAAAGAATGATTCTTATGATGTGTTTTGTTCATATCATATAGGCTGTGGGGGGGGGGGGGGGGGAAAGCAAAGTGGGAACCTTGTAATTCAATGCGAAGTTGCATGTGGATATATAGGCAGCTTATACACACACACACACACACACACACACACATAAATTAACGTATCATATTATTTTAGAAATGAAAGGGTAAGCATATTGATTCATTTTGCTAATAAGCCGTTATCTTCTGGCAGCTTTCAGAGCCATCAGGAATCGTTATGTGCGAAAAATAGTGATGTTTTTTTTTTCTAGAATTGCATATGCCACTTTGAATCTGCATCACTTGAAATTACATTTGTTGTACCGTATATTAGCCTTCAATATTGGGACCTCACTACTTAACCATGTACGAGGGGAAGGAAACCCTTATTCTATAAAAGGATCCTTAACCCTCACTTTAGGAGCAGGGCAAAGAGAGCAAATCCTAGCCTCTATAGCCTCCATGTACATCGTAACCCTCAATTTACATAGTGAAACTCGTAACCCTCAATTTACATAGTGAAAATGGATCGACAGCAGTGTGAATGTAGCCCCAACTTAGGGTGAATCACATTATATCTTTGTATTCTTGTGCGTTTGTGTGATTTACGGTCGGATTTACGTTGTTCCAAAGTCTCACTGATTTTGTGCATCAACAACATTATAATCTTGTAAATACCATGGAAAATCAGAAAGTGAGACTCGGTTTTATTCCTTATCAGTAACAAGCTTCGATTTAAAGTTCTCTCTCTTTATTTGTACAAGAAGAATTTTCATAGCTGATACAAACAAGAGTCGTCTTATCAGATATCTAGACAAGGAAGAAGCTGAACTTCTTACTTTGGAGCTGAAAGGGGTTCGGCCTCCCGTAGCAAAACAAAAATCCTTGAGAAGACGATCATCAGCTGACACACAGACCGTTACAGTTGATGGTGGTCCATATCCAACGAGGGCAACCTGTTTATTAAAATATCAGTACCCGAAGGGTATCATTTTTCAAAGGTCCCCACCCCTCTCTTCATTTCAAAGAACTTATACTTGTAGTTTTCAACTTACTACTACTGCTTCGCAGTGGTTTCTCATCCTATTTGTCAAATTTTCTGGTGTTGCATGGCCCTTTCGGTATTTGTCACCCAAAGATTCTAAATGCAGGAAGCTCGCAGTAAGTTTAGCGTCGAAACTGAGCCTGAAACCACGGTTTCCATTGATCCCGTGGATGGATATCTTAGTCCAGAGGATCAGCAATTCTTCATTTCAAGAGACCTCTCCCTCAGCTTCAACGGGGAGAATAAATTGCAAGGTATCGCTTATTTTCGCGTACAAACCAATCAGGTCTGCCAAAACAATCGAATTGCACGAGCTGTTTCAACAAATGTGAATTGAATCAAACTTTGCTTGTCTTGCAGATTTACTATTGCAAGGAAGATGAGTAAATTGCAGGATAAACTTTAGGTGGTTATATAATTAAAACACAAACAAGGAGTTGGCTGACCTGATCGTGAAATAATAGCCATTGGATGCCAAGCACAATGATGTAGGATGCAACAACACCAAAGTCTTCTACAAAGCATCTAGTCGGATACAACTATTTATGCGAAGTGTTTATTGTGTATCGAGGGTTTGCAGGGACCTTAGTATTTATATTGGCTAAGGTATTAAGGTTCTGTCCATAAAGGAATCCCAAATCCCATCTTTTTAGCCCATCAGTTAGGTGTCATAATCACATAAAATCAAGGACTCCATCAATCTTACTTGTATTACAAGACACCTAATATAAGATTGATATCTTTAGGAAATCAAATCACAATATCTACATTAATCTCCAATATTACATTCAGATTATATGTTGTAGACCATTTAGGGTTGATTTACATCGGAATAAATCCAACAGAACCAACCCGGAAGAAAGCACACTTGCATGTTGTTGCATCAAAACATATAAATGTTGACTAATCTGACTAACATGGAACTTGGTAATACGTTGTAAAGCCAAAAACTTGAACAAGCAACTTACAGCTACCGGATGCGCACTGACAATATCTCCTACAATTATTTGTTCACCGCAATATCTTCTACAATTATTTGTTTGGATGCCAAATTACACATAGCAGCTATGGTTACTAAAAAGTATAAAACAGTTTTGCCCTAACTAAAGCATGAGATTTCCTAATTGTGTTTCTTCTTTTACATCATTATCATTATTGTTAAAGAGTTTTGCTTCTAACTAAACAACCGTCCATGTGACTTACCATCCACAAGCATGTGGCCCCTGTGGCCGGATGGTCATCCGTTGATGCATGTGAACAATATTATCGAACCCAAGCCTTTGCTTAGTTGTTATTTGTTGTCATTAGTTTAACATAAAACACCATGATTATGGTTCTTGGGACAAGCAATGGATGGATTGCTCACCAAGACACGCACACTCGTGCGCACCTGTCTCCATTTGATCAAATGATGGAAGTGTGATCACTAATGAGGATTAGGCACCTAATTAGGGTACCCGGAAAACCAAATATAATTATTTAGGTTAGAATCAATCTTTGACAAAAGCTCTTTAGACTTAACCAAATCATGTGAATATGGACCATGTTTGTTTAATTAAATTAGATTAAATAATCACTCGCATTATAATATTAGAAGATGACAGCTTAAAACGTGCTTCTGCCACCAAATTCCATGTTTATCTTCTTCCCAACATTATTCTCTGAGTGTTGAATATTTAGTCCATTGCACTATCTAATTGGCTCTATGCATCCACTTGTACTAATTTCATCCTAATTCAGTTGTTCAAACATTTGAACTTAATTTTTAATTTCGTTTAGAAGATGTGATTATGAGACGGATGCTTATAACAAAAGGGATAGAGAAATACCTAGAAAGACTTTAAAAGAGATTTTAAGAAAAGATATGGAGTACTTGAAGCTAACGGAAGACATGGCGCAAAACTGAGCGCATCGCCATTCGAGGATTCATGCAGTCGACCTCACTTAGTGGAATAAGACTTAGTTGTTGTTGTTGTACTTCAAATTAGGGTTGTTCACAAAATAAGCATCTCAAAACTTCAAGTCGTGTCACAAACACTTACAATACAATTTTGAAGAGAAAAGAAAAACTCATGATGGACTCAATTGTTGTTACACCTAACCATTACTTTTCTCAACACTAACAATTGATGATAAGTGGGGATGAACAAGAGCTGCTAGATTTTTATTTGAATCTTCCTGTCACAACAGACTCCTTAACTTCGGAAATTCCTTACCAAGATCCCAAATCCCAAATGGGTGATTAGAGGTGGAAACAAAGCTAGGATTCAATAAACAATGGCAGAAGTAACAAGACTAAAGATGTGATAGTTTTTTTTTTTTTTATAACAGTTAATTCTTAAAGTGTCTCTCATTAGCATTAACAACTGTGAGAAAGAACTCTTCAACTGTCTCTCTTACTATTTAATCTATAAGAGTTGAAGTCTTCAAGTTTCATGATTTTCCCCAAGACGATTAATAGTTTTAGGAAACCAAATGGAACCTTGACCAGCAAGTTTGATTCAGATTGGAAATGCTGCTACATTGTATCAAAGTCAAAAACCTAACAATTTAGAAAAACACCCCCCCGTGACAGATGAAACCAAAGAGATATAGAGTTTGCTTGTCAAATTAAACATCATAATTATCGATTAATGAGAAAAAATATAATTAAAAAAACTGAATGACAAACATTTTTAATAATAAATTGAAGAAACCCCATGTTAGGGAGCAAGGATGCACCAAAACCAATCAAGGGTTTCTTGTCTTATGCAGTTACGACTCACAACTTACAGGTCTTTTGGTTCATCTTTGTGATTCAGTTATTTAGTCCCAATCAACTTATTTTATTTAGCGGGGAACACCAAATGAAACCACATTGGCTATTTTTTCAATTAGTTTAGAGAAGGGATAAGTAAGAATATTGCGGAGGATGCAAAGGAAATTGTATAGTGAATTAGCAAATCCACAATAAACTTGTAGCTTAAGTCGTTAAAAACAATTAATTCTGTAACTGAATTTTTATATTCGATGCTCGGATAGTTATTGTTCCTTGATTAACTCGAGAAGATATTATCTCACTATAGTCAAGGTTGAATCTTTTACCTCATACGACAATTGTCATTGCGTATTGACCCAGACCTAAAAAGTTTGGGTGAAACTAAGTGGATGTCCAATTCGATTGATGTTGAAGAATCAGCGGATGAGTTATGGTTAGGGGTAAAATGCCACTCGAATCCAAAACTAACTGGTTCTCCCCGAAATGCTTTGATGCGCATCACTTGGCTGGTCATCTAGGGGTAAAACACTGTTTCTATGCAGGTTGCGAGAGTGATACCAAATCAAGACAAACTTTGAATACAAAATATGACCTCAAAATAATAGAGGTCAAAGTCGGCTAGTGAGACAATATCAAATCAACTTCATCGTAAAATTCAACAGTAAGTATCATTTTATACCTTAAGAGGAAAAAGTGAACCCGTTTATAACTGTTGATGTATAGTGTGGATTATTTTATGCTAGAAACTTCCGGTCCAAGTGTTTTGCACTGAATTAAATATACACTAATTTTAATTAAACCCTTCTTTCTGGCAATGAGGTCTGTCTCACACAAGGAGACAAGCTTTCTGGCAAAGTAATTAGTTGGAGGATCTTTCTTTTTTAAGATTGTTTATATCTTCCAATTTGTGAAATCAGGCCTCTTATCTGCCTACATAACACATGTTCTATGGTTTAAGATAATCTAATCAATCAAATGTTGCCTAATTGATAAGATTAAGTGGAAGAATTATTGTTATTAATTAGTAGATGAGATATTTAAATAAATAAATTCAACAGTGGAAATCAGAAAGGTCGAACTTTGTCACAATGAAAATATTGTTCTTGTGTGACCAAAAATCACGAGTTCGATCTCTTTACAAAATAAAAATAAGACTGTGTACGATAGATTCCTCCATCCTCGCAAAAGAAAAAACTTTGTTAACTTAGGCTCGCTCATTTTAACGAGGAAACCAGAAAAACAAAAGGAAAAGAGCATGTTGGAAGATGAAGAGGTGAGGCAGGCAATGTGGATCGAACCCGGCCACATCCTTTTAAATCAGGAGGTCGGTCCAAACTCCAAAGCCGCTGATAGAAAATTACAAAATAATGGCCCAGATGATTGAAAGCGCCATCAAAACAACCACATGCCTCTCTCTCTTCTCTCTCTCTCTCTCTCTCTCTCTCTCTCTCTCTCTCTCTCTCTCTCTCTCTCTCTCTCTCTATTTGGGCATTACCCACTAATCATTGCTAAGCTAAAAGACAAATTCCATTGGTCCCCGGAGCCAATTGATGGAAGCCAACACATTTTGTGTTTTTTTAAAATCAGCTATTTCCACATCATGGATCTACCAAAAATAACTCCATAAATAAAAACCGAATATATTTTCTCAAGTGTCATCTGTGGATATTTCTTTTTCGTTTTGCAAGCGATATTGGAGAGTGGAGAGTGAACTTAAAATCTTAGCAAAAAGAGTGAACGCGCTTAACCGGCTGAGCAATACGCGTTTTGTATTATCTCAAGCTTTTTAATATTATTTCATTTAACACATAATTAAGTAATTTCTCAATTGACAAAAATACATGATAGTCGCTTTCTAGTTGCTAACAAATTGATATTCATATATATTAGAAAGCTGGATTGTATTCAATTTTAACCGTTGTAACCGTGTCGTTATCGTATCTACCTTGAATTAATCAATACGCAAAACGATATAAAAATAATGATACATTAACTCATATTTATTTATCGCCAAAATGAGAACAGTAGTATTACAAATATAATATTAGTTGAACGATATTAATCATGTCTAATAGTGTACACAATAAATTATATATCTGTATTCATATCGATTTCAAGTTATAACGTTTAATGTTCGAGATTATCACCCCAAATAAACTACTATACTATATCAGTCAAGACATGGAACTATTTAAGATTTTATTGATTTAACACATTCGAAATTTTAAAACCCTAAGTAAAAAAAAAAATAAGTTGACTTAGTGGAAGATTGCAAATATTATAACAAAAGAAGACATACCGGCCTTGCAAGACAAGAGTCACGACGACCTGACAGACCCATGTTTTTCGGCATATTTTCCGGTGACATGTTGCCCTAGCAATCGTTTAATTTGGACCGTGGATTGAAGCTTTCACTCTATGATTTGGTAAATTCAAAGTGCATTTATAATATAGGGCAACCTCAGTCGAAAGTGAAACATCTATCGTACTTGACAATTGGCATTATTCTTACTTTACAAATAGAATGTTTCGATAACTTAAACTTATGATCATTCGACCACTAAAAAACAATTTTTTTCGTTGCGCAAAAACTCACCCGTAAAGTGAATATAACATATTTGGTAAAAAAAAAAATATTGGAATTCAATGCGGCACGTTTGAAATGCATTTTATCTTTTCTTAAGAGACGTGAGGATATGTTTCACCTGCCAGGGTGACGTACAACTCAAAACATTTATATCACAGAACACATTTCCAACTCTCTTTAGACAAAAAAATATTTTGGTATGCCAAAAAAGTAACTCGATACATTAAGTGTAATTTAATACAATTGGATGAAAACTTAAAAAAAAACAATTATAACCAATTGTAGTATGAGACTGGTGTACGGAGCCATGATATCGGCACAATGAAAGTTTATCTGCTTTAGACTTTAGTTGCATCTAATGAAGGTTACCTGCTGTAGTTGACCTAATTAATTTTTCAGTTTTCTCATTTCTTATTTTTTTTATACATAAGCAATATCA